GGCGACCGACGAGCCGCTGCGCTCCGCCACGATTAGACACCGACGTCCTGCTCTGCCGCCCCGGCTCATGGGGAGAAGAAGGGGAGAAGAGATTTAGCAAACTCCAGCAGACACCGTCTTTTATGGGACTTTTTTTTATTTTCCCAGTCACAAGAACACGTGTCATTAGTGACTCCTCCCGAAACGAGCAGCTGTTCTTTGGCCATTACTGCTCCAAAATTAACCAAGATGGAAGAATTCAATTGCACCCCCCTCCCAGCCCTGCTGAGCACGCACGATTACGGGATTGAGAGCATCTTTTGCTCAGAGTTCAGGGGCACCCCGGTATAAAGAAACAGGACACAGGCGGCGGCGAGGGGCAGCGCAGGGTCAGGCGACACCTGCGAGCGATGGCCTTGCAAGGCAGGCCCGCAGCTGGGGACAGGAGGGACAGGCAGTAATTCCATCAACGGCCACAGTAAACAAATAATAAATAATGTGAACCAGTAAACAAAGCTGAGGCATAATCACAGGCTTTGTCAGAGCTGAAACCAAATCCAAATTTATATCCTCACCACCAAAAAAAGTCAGTGCCCATCAATTTCCATACCTTTGAGGGCGATGAATGGCTCGCGATGGGAGCGGCGGACAACACGCTGGCAGGGGTGGTGAACGCGGGCCTCGCACCCCTCGCACAGGTGGCCAGCGCGGAGCCGTCGCTGCGCCGCGCTCACAGAGCTGCATTTACTACCCCGCACGGCGCGACCCGTGCTCTGTCCTTACGGGGGACCCAAGTCCCCACACTCTGCCTTTCCTTTCCCTTCCCAACAGAACAACTCCCACCAGGCACCACCGGAGCTCACACCAGGCTTTTCCTGGAGGCAAAGCCGCAGCCTTTCTTGGGAAAAGCCCCCAGGACGCTGTGGATGCACGGAGCTGCCTGGAGAAGACCCTGCTTCCACCACACTTTCAAAAGAAAAATTGGTTTTTCGAAGAGGCGGAGCTGGGAAGCACAACTCCAGCAGACACGTACCTGGGATTTTGACTGCGTCCTGGTCAATCCTGCTCTCCTCTGCGTCCAGGCGCTCCAAGCCCACTGCTTCGGTCTTCACAGGGGCGTCCTCCGTGGCAGACAAGGTGGTGTACGTACTAATAACCAGTATTCCCAGGCCAATCCACAGTATGATCTGCAGAAGGTGCCAGAGCTTCGGTTAGCACAGCAGAACCACCAGGACGGCTCCGTACCGCACTCCCCCCGCAAGCAGCGTCTCCAAACAACTCAAAGCACGGTGCAATTACCCATGTCAGTGAGGGAAAAGGAGGAGAGAAATTTAAGAGGCGACAAAGAACTAAGAGCAGCTTTTGGCTGAGGTTTGTGTTTGGCTGTAGAGACATACCAACGCGAGCTTCGGGTGCCGGAAGCTGTCGAAAAGGCTACTCCTGTACCGGAAGGGCTCAGCAGAGGCGGGCGGGACGCAAGGACAGAGAAATGCACGTGGCAGACGAGTCCAGCTGCAAAGACTCATTCCCTGGGAATTCCAGCAGCTACATTAGAACACCATGAACTTGGGTCTGGCTGAGAACAGAGGTGCCCGACTTGTTTACAGCCTGGAAAGGTTTCTAGGGAGCTGCCTAAAAATTCTCATTTTTGAGAGCAAGAAGTAGATGTCCACACACAAGGCCTGGTGGCCAGTGCTCCAGAAGCTGGTAAGAATCCTCACTGATTTCCAGAAACCTGGCACCAAGCAGAACAAAACCAGAAAGACAGAATTTGGGTCCCGGGGAGGGAAGGGCTCTACGCATTTCGCTAGCTCAGAAAGGAGCAAGTGACCACCACCAAAAAGAACATTTCTACAGCTTATTATCTACTGATGAATTGCTCTAAAAGGATCTAATTCCACATGAGCAGTAAGAAAGAGAAATAAACCTCTCTGCCTTTGACTGCACAAAACCAAATTTCCCTGGGAGCGCTAGCAACCCCCAAGGCAACCCGCGAAGGATGCGCAAGACGATGCGCAGTGGCACGGGGGAGAGGAACGTCAGCCGTGCCCGGTGCCAGGGCTGCTGCCCGCCTGCCTGCTCCCGGAGAGCAGCACCAGCTCCAAGCGCTGCGCAGACGGGTCGCTGGCCGACAACGCTGACTGCCGAGATTTAATTAAACTCTAATATATTCTTTTTACCTAGTTAATCCCTGCGATTGTCACAGTGAGGGCTTCTCATGGAACCCGGTTTGTGTGTCAACACGGCTGGGAGGAGAAAGTCTGCAGGTTTGTGCTGAAGGATGCAGACAAAGCAGCGGCACCCTCTGACAGAAACACACTCTCCCCACAAACTCCTTTCCACAACGGATCAGGGAACAGAATCCCAGAATTCCGGCATGGTGGTGGTTGGCAGGGCCCTCTGTGGGTCACCCAGCCCAACCCCCTGCCCAAGCAGGGTCACCCACAGCAGGCTGCACAGCACCGCGGCCAGGCGGGTCTGGAATATCTCCAGAGAAGGAGACTCCACAGCCTCCCTGGGCAGCCTGGGCCAGGGCTCCGTCACCCTCAGAGGGAAGAAGTTCTTCCTCATCCTTCCGCGTTTCCAGCTGGAGCTTCCTCTTCTTCAGTTTGTGCCCGTTGCCCCTTGTCCTGTCACTGGGCACCACTGGAAAGAGTCTGGCCCCGTCCTCCTGACCCCCACCCTGCAGATATTTGTAAGCATCGTGTGCGAAAGAGAAAGCGCCTCTGCAATGCTGGGAAGCTGGAAGTTTGCAGCAAACTGGTATTTACGATGCACCAATTCCCCCCCTCATTTTTTTTAAGCACATTCTGCGCTCTGGAGCGCCAGGGATCTCGCTTCTTTCTGCAGCTCTGCATATGGCAGCAGAGGATCGAAGACGATTCCCCAAACCGCGTCTTTCCTTTGCGCCTCGCGGCCGCCCCGCACGATGCTCGGAGCCTGCAGGCAGCACGCCGCTGCTTCTCCTCCGCTCTTTGCCCGCGGCCATCCCCACCGCTGCTGCGTGCTGCTCCTCCCCTCTTTGCCCGCGGCCATCCCCACCGCTGCTGCGTGCTGAGGGCAGGCTGCCGGGGACAGGACACCGTCCTTCCCACCCCACCTCTGACGCGAACAACTCGCTCTGCACGCTTCGCGAGGCAATCGTATAACTCTCCATCTGCGAAGGAAAGCCACTACTGTGGTACACGGTCTTGTTCTGCCCAGCAGGAACCACACCAGCTGCCCGGCCCCTCCGCGGAGCGGTGCAGGACCCAGCGTGCTGGTGATCCTGGCCCTGGCTGCGATACCAGCTCACGAGAGGACCACATCCCAGGGACTCCTGCTCTGCCCCCAGAATCCTCACCCTGCAGCATTTACATCCCAAAGCACAAAAAGCGAAAGAAAAGGACGCTACTCTGTGATGGGTACAGGGGACCATTGCTACAACGGGGAGCTGCTGGAGGGAGAGAGCTGAAAACAGAGGGGAGAAGTGAAACTGAAAGGAGAAGTTAAAATCTCAGCGTCCCCAGGGGAGCGAGGAGAGGCTAACACTTTCCTCTCCTCCTTCGTGTTGAGGGAGACTGCCCAGAAGCACCCGCTTTCCACACTCCCCTGCAGACAGACAGACGCCTTCAGAGGGGAAAGGTTGGTGGGACATGAAGCCGCTCTGGACAAGGGATGAGGAGCGTGGCCAGGGAGCAGAGCCCAGACCTTAGGGACGCTGCAAAGGAAACAGAAGTAAAATCTGCTCCCTGCCTTGCCATGTGGGTGCACAAAGAGCAGATATCCTGCCATCCCGCTTGGGCCAAAAGCGGAGTCAGCAGGTCCCTGCCGCTGCTGCCCTGGGCTTGGAGCTCATCCACTTCCTCCCCTCACACCATCTACAGCCCCGGCAGAAATGCACGTTGCGACTGGAAGGCTGTTCTGGCATCTTCCAGAAACAACAGCGGAGAGGAAGAGCATTTCCACAAAGAGCAGCTATTCTTGTGCCACAGGAACTAGGAGCAACGTGGGAGAGAAGGGAACTGTAGGAAACGGCTGAAAACACTAAATGCTTTTAAAGGATTTTTGTTGTTTCTTATCTTAGTGGGGAACCCCGGGCTTGAATGCCTTGGATTCAAACCCCTTTGACTGTCTCACATTTGGAGTTCGTCTGTGGGCTTCCCAGAGCAGCGGGTACACGCGGCAGTCACAGCCAGGCTGGGCCGTCCATGAAGCAGGAGCCATCCCGCACCTTCAGCTCCCCCGTCCGCAACGGAAGAGCAGGATAAAGAGGTCCACGATTTGCCTTACTCCCACGGAGGTGCTTATGACATGGAAAACCAGGCAGTTTGTACCGAAGGGACCGCCAAGGCTAATCTGACAATGAAAGGAAGAGGAACGTGGGGTGCAAGGACCCGGAGGGTCGAGGAACCGAACACAGGCAGAAGAGCCATGGCAAAGCACCCAGCTGAAGAGCTGAGAACCTGGAGCAAGGAGAGGGACAACACTGCAGTGCTGTTAAAGCCAGTGCCCGCTCCCAGGGGAAGGATCTCCCTGCCCCTGCAGGGCGAACCCACTCAGAGCAGAGCCCCTTCTCCAGCAGCGCCTCTCGACACAGCCACGACGAGAGGACGTGCAAAGCCCCGGCTGCAGCCTGCGCCAACACGCAGGTCAGCCAGGCAAGGGCCGTCTCCCGAGAGGAGCGCTCCGAGCAGGACGGGAATTCAGGAGGGGAAGTTTACGCGGCTGTTTCCTCTGCTGGTCGCTTTCCCTCGGCCGTCCTTCCTCCCAGAAGACAACTCGAACTTTGTACAGAAGCGTCATTAGCCCAGACCTTCTCCTCTAACCACGCCTGAGCCATCAGCGGGAAGCAAAAAAAAAACCCTGCATTTGTGTGGAGTGACGACATCCTCCAAACTGCGCTGTTTTGGACACCGAGCGCTTGGAGGGACAGAGTCATGGCGAATGAATGCAGAGCCCCGGTCACCGCCGGGTTCCTGCGCTGCGACAGGGATTCTGCCTTTGAAAGGCCGGACCGACCGAAAGCGCCCGCGGTGGAGGTGTGCTGGCCGCCGCGCTGCCGGGGGAGCGCAGGGGGGAATCTCTTCTCCATCCGCACAGGAGCGAGACTGGGGGTCATCTGCTGACCTCGAGCAGCCTCTCCGCAGCTCCTCTTCCCCAACTGGGACAGCAGCAGCTCCGGCCTCCCTAGGAGAGGCCTCTCCAACAGGCTTGTGTCAACACTGGGAAGCCAACACCTTCCTGTTAGAAGTCAAACACTCTGTTTACAGACCTTAACGCGACCTTCGGCAGCACTTGGCCAAACCTCGCTCCGTCCGCCCGCTCCAGGCTCCCGGAGGGCAGCAGGACACGGACCCGCACCTCCGCAGCAACACGCCTGATGCTCAGCCACAGGAAAGGGAACGCTCTCCCCAGTTCATTCACAGCGCTGCATGCCTGGCTTCAAGCTTTTTAACTGCTCCGTTACCTGGTCGTCTTTCCAGCATAGCAAGCCTTTCAGCCAAGCCACCCCCCGCCTAGCCCGAGCCACCGTCCCCAGCCCTGGTGGCTGACCAGCGGCTGGGGTCCTTAACAACTCACTGGCAGCAGCCACCCGTCACCAAACACCTGGGACTGCCCCTATCCCTCCCCTTGAGCCCTCTTCACCACTTTTAGTGCGGCTTCCCCGTTTTGTAGCCTCAGCTTGCACCATCTGCCCAGCCCAGCAAACCTCAGCGCCCTCTGTCCCCAGCCCCGTAAGCTGCCCAACACGGGACTCTGCTGGATGCCAGAGGCGGCCCAGTAAAAGCAGCCAGTTCTCAGCAGCAAGAGTCAAGAAAACTCAGGCAAGAACAAGAGCTGGCGTTGAGAAGGCCTGCTGCTTTGGAAGAAAGCTGAGGATGATGGAGAGAGGGAGGGAGAACATCCACATACGTTGCTTAGACAGGGAACAGCGGGGAGGGACAGCTACGTCCAGCGCTGCCTCCTTCTCCCCCCCAACGGCCACCTCTCACAGAAGCATATTTTGATGAAGTGGAGCGCCTGATCAAAGAAAAGCAGGAAT